CCCCTCCCCCCTCCTCTCACCTCACCTCTGAACGAAACCCGCCATCTAGCACCCCCACTTCCATTTCCCTCGTTCAAACTGCCACCATCCGCCGTGGGGCAGTCTTCCAGCCGTCGGTAGAAAAAATTTTTTGCGGCTCGTGTATGAGCCGAGCCGAGTTATTTGAATTGCCATTTATAGTAACTGCCCTTCTTTGAGGTGGCGAGCTGGGGAGGGGGATGAAAGCAGTGATTCGTTTGATACAAGTGTGTCTTCGCCTGACATCACTTGGGGTGTTTAAAAACTAGGATTTTGCAAGAAATTAAAATTTCGGTTATCAGCCTCATCCCCAAGTACGTCCACGTCGGGGCGCTGTGCTTGTTACTTCTGCCGTTTTCGAAATGCATTTGTTTGTTTCGCGCATTCCTTGTCCTTTTGCTTTTCCGGGGTCCGTCATCATACAGAATGCACTCTCAGGCTGCGCTAAAATAATTTATTGCTTGTTTTATTTGGTGGAAATTGCAGCCTGTAGGGGGGACAGGAGAGATAATGCGCACAGGCATATCGCGATGACAGACGGAAATAGACTCCCCTCGTATGCTTTCGATGTGACTCCGATCTTCCTTGTCTACGGACATCTCTGGTATGTTTTGGCGCGACTGTGTCTCATGCCGAACTGCTGTCCTCATGCTTGCCGGGATTACCCTTTTAAAAAATTTTCCTATTCAGACTTGCTCAGCGCATAGCTGCCATCTTCAGTTCCCCTCGAAGTTTATGAAATTTCTTTATTTAACGCGGTTCTCGAGTCTTTTGAGGGGATTTTTTGCGAACAAGTCGGAAGCGAACTGTTTTGGCCAGGAAGAAAAGTGTCAGAAATGAGAGAGAATCATCATGAAGTGGTGCCTTCAAAACGTTAAACGAACGCGCGTAAGATTACTACGGTGAAGTGAGACATCTCTGTGGATTCACGTGGATGTAGAGACTCAGAACAGGGAAGAGTTGTCAGCTTCATCGATGGCGAGGAAAAACGCAGCTATGGAACAACAGCTGGTTATAGTGTTGCGACGAATTCCCGTTGTATGTCTGCGGTTTTACGCAGTGGTGCGGCTGTTGACACCTTGTGCATGTTGTTTCAGGCAGGCAGTATCATCGGCCATGGATAAGATCGATCACAGTTTGCTGAACATTCTCCAGCACAAAGCTGCCGGCACTGTCGCTATCTTTGAACGCAACGTAGGTGTTGGCGCCAGGCGCCGAACTCCATTCCTTCTTCAAATGAGACATTATTCGACGCCGAATTAATATTATTGTATCCGGACCACTGGCGCCCACAATTCGGGATGAAGCGCGTCATGTTGATGTGCATCTTAACGCAGTTTCCTCATTTTTATGCGTTTTTGCATATATATGCAAATTGCAAAAACGTATATTGGCGAGAGGCTGGGTGTGTGTGTGTTCCCACTTTTTGTCACCCACTTTCAGCTCGAGAACCAGAAACGCTAGAAAGCTGAAACTTCGGAAATATATGCCCATCACCTGTTTTAATATCATCCACGCAAGCATGGATGCCGCGTACGAACGCCTTAAAAAAGCATATAAATTTTTTTGACGCGAAAGCGATCTCGAGGACCAGAGAAGATAGCGAGCTGAAACTTTGCAGAGATATTCTCTGTGTATTTGTGAGCTAAAGATTTCAAATTTATCGCCGAAGGATCGGTGGCCCGCAAATACAAGCACCTGAAAGTTTTGGCGGGAAAATTGCTAACTCGGTAACCAGAAAAGCTGGAAAGTTGAAGTTTTGCGGGAATTTTCCCTGTCAACATACAATTTAAAGTTTTCAAACTCGCCTCTCAGGTACGCGTGGCACTTATATACGAGCACGTGAAAGTTTTGGCAAAGAAATTGCTAACTCTGGAGCCAAAAAAGCCGGAAAGTTGAAATTTTAAGGGGATATCCCCTGCCCAAATGCAACTTAGAGGTTTCAAATTCATTCTCCAAATATACGTGTTTCTTGTGCAC